GTCAGCAACGTCAACACCAACCAGCATGACTGTTCTACATCCCCCCTCCCCCTCCCCCACCCTCCCTCCTCTCCTCCTCCTCCTCGTCGTCCTCCTCCTCCTCTCCTCCTCCTCCTCGTCGTCCCCCCTCCCCCCCCACCCTCCTCTCCTCTCCTCCTCCTCCTCCTCGGCGTCGTCCTCCTCCTCTTCGTCGCGCCTTGGCACGGCGATATTGGGCGCGCCGCCCCGCCGCCAAGAGGTTCGGCCGCCGCAGAGGCCGCTCCAGAGCGCAGGGGGGGGACCGGACGTGGGGTCGAGCGGGGGTTCGGATGTCGAGCCGAGCAGCCTCGAGCCGAGCTGGCACTGGCAGGATGAGGAGGCAGGAGGTAGGATGAGAAAAGAGACAGGAGGACAAGGCAGGAGGAGGAGGAGGAGGGGGAGGAGGAGGAGGAGGGAGGAGTTGGATGAGGAGGATGAGGACGAGGCTGGAGGCCAGAGGGGGAGAAGGAGGAGGAGGAGGAGGAGGAAGAGGTGGAGGAGGAGAAGGAGGAGGAGGAGGAGAAGGAGGCAGGACGAGGAGGAAGAGGAGGAGGAGGAGGAGTCATGAGGAGGAGGCATGGTGAGGAGGTGAGGAGTCATGAGGAGGAGGCGGAGGAGGAGGCAGGATGAGGCAGGATGATGAGACAGGAGGAGGACGAGGAGGAGCAATCAGAAGGCAGGAGGAACAGGATGAGGCATGAGTAAAAGGGGGAGGTTGGAGCAGGGAGAAAGAGGAGTTCTCCAGGCAACCCAAACGTATTGTCATGTGGTTTTCGGGTTTTCGGGGAAATGCTCGTTGTTTTCATTGTTGGTGTCTTGTCTCGACACCCGAAAGTGCGCGCCCGCCGTCAGGTTGATGCTATTGGCTGCGCTCCTCGCTGTGCTGTGGACATATCATGCGGCGGCGGTCGAGTACTTCACCCTGGCTGCGACGGAGGTGAGAGCAGTGTCCACGGACTGCGACCCCTTGCTTTCCAGTCTCTTTCTCATGCTTCCGCAAGTGCTGTGGCGGGGGGGGCCTTTGTCAGAGGACGCCAACTGTACGCCACGCCGATCCTGGGCCATTGCCCAGGATTGACCTTTCCAGGACGGGCGGGCTGCGTAGGTGTCGTCCGCCCATTTTTGGGTTGGTTTCTCCTCTCCAGAACTTAGGCGGTCCGATTTGCCCAAGGCGTGGTCCCACCTGGATCTCCCGACCCCTTTCCTGGGCCAGTTTTTCATTTTGAATAGTTTTTTTGATGGTCTCGAGTTTTGTTTTTTCATGTTTTTAAGGCTCGAGTAAGCCAGAATTTGGGTTTGCCGACGTTTCTGACGAGCGCGTCCTGGATTTCGACGGTCCAGTCTTCGTGGAACGTCTGCATCGGGAGCTCGCGTCAAATTTCAGATTGCGCCTCGTCATTTTTATGATGGCCCCGTCGGGCCAAACCGAGTCACCCGTACGGTAGGTTCGTGTCGTGTCGACCGGCGGCGACCCCGCCAGCCTTCTCCTCCTCCTGCTCCTCCTCCTCCTCCTCTCCTCCCCCTCTGGCCTCCAGCCTCCTTCTCCTCATCCTGTCTTCTTCCCATCCCTCCTGCTGAGATCAGGAGGCTGCATTGCGGGCTCCTTCATATTCTAGAGGATTGCGCAATTCCGCCGACCCCCCCGAGAAGGTTAACCAGATACATCGGGCAGGGCATGGCGGATGAGGAAGAAAGGGGGGGTGAGTAAAATCGAGCTGATGCTAAGAATGGTGGAGGAGCGCAAGATGAATGAAGGAGGCGGTGCGGTGGAGTGCCAGGAAGGGAAGTGGAGGGAGCCAGGGGTAATTCGCGTGGGTAGGATCCCAAATTCCTTGCATCCATGTTCGAAGTGATCGCTCAATTCTTATCAACGGATTCTGGATTCCAGATTCGATGAGGCTTCCAGCTCGGATGCATCGCATCTTCCGGATTCCAGATTCTGGATTCGGGATTCCAGATTCGAGGGGGCTCCCGTCTCTGATGCATCGCATCTTCCGGATTCAGGATTCCAGATTCGAGGAGGCTTCCGGTTTTGATTAATCGCATTTTCTGGATTCCAGATTCCGCGTTTTGGATTCCGGATTCCGGATTCGAGGAGGCTCCGGGCTCTCATGCATCGCATTTTCCAGATTCTGGATTCCGGATTCGGGGAGGCTTCGGGTTCTGATGAATCGTGTCTTCTTGATGCCAGAAGCTGGATTCTAGATTCGAGATGGCTCCAGGCTCTGATTTCCGGTTAAAGAGGAGGCTCGCGGGCCGTTCTTGGACACCGGGACCGTCAACAAAAAACGATTTAGCATGAAAAGCTGGTTCTAGGGAGGGGGCTGTGAGGTCTGGTGGCCAGAGACTTGATAAAACATAGTCGTTGGAGGTTTTTTTGGGGAATGTGGGAGAGCCAAACGTTTGACATGCCTTGTCTTCTGCACACTGCCTCCTTCAATCGCGTAGCCTTTTTTCCGGTACCCTCTTCCGTGTCTTGAGCTGTCTGCTTCCGCTGGAGGCGTCCGGAGGACGGGCGCAGATAAATTTCTTGGAGCTATCTTGAAGCTCTTTCGGGGCCCTCTTGGTAGCCCTCAAAGAGATGGGCTTTCTTGGGGGCCTTGTGGGCTCTCTTGCGGCCATCAAGGATGCCATCGATCAAAGACGAGGGTTTCTAAATTTCGCCCCTCCCCGTCGAATCCCTCAAATCGCATCTTGGGGAGCTTTTGGGTCCGTCTTGGAGCCCTCTTGGGCTATCTTGGAGCCATGTTGAGACTTCAAATCTAATGGGAAGCGAAACGTCGAGAAGGCAAGCATCATTGCTTGCCTTAAGTTTTTGAATGGTTTTGGGCTCTCGAAGTTGCATCCTTAGGAGGCTCCGTACCTACTTGGAGCCGCCTTGTCGCGGTCTTGGGGCATGAGGCGTGTTGAAAGCCACTTTGAGCCTTCTTGAGACATCCTGGGCTCTCTTGTGCCATCTTGACGCCTTTGGGAGCCATCTTCGGCAATATTGGGCCCTCTGACGGCCCGCAACCCCTCCCACTTCCAGACCCAGTGGAGGGGGTAGGTGGTCGGGTAAACCCATCTCCGAAGGGGAAGGAGGGTTGGACGGAACTCGCTAAAACACCTGCACCCAAAGGGCATGTGGGATTGCGTCGTTTCTTCTCTATCCAATCTTTCACCATGCTTGCGGTGCATGGGTATCAACAGGTTTCCCAGTTTTGTTCGAATGCTCGGTGCCACTGCGACACCGCTCCGTCCTCAGAGGGACCGCGCCCATTTGCGCCTGCGAGCGTCCGTCTGTCCGTATTCTCTCTCCTTCTCGTGTCCCCTGCGCGTATCCGTGCAGGATTTACTAGGCTCAAGTTTTTTGCTCAATCTGGAAATCTCCAGTGTGTTTATGCTCTGTAGCTGTATGCTGCGTGTTGTGATTTGTATAACGGTTTCGGCTCTGGTATTGGCGGTCCGGAAGGAGACAAATTTGGGTCATCGGCTTTCTTTGACAGATGAGGCGTACTCTGAGGACCAGTGGCCTTGGTCTGAGGACCACGTGGGGGAGCTTGCCGGCAGCGAATTCGCTTCACGACGCGTTTGCTGCTGCAAATTCTCCACTGAAGAGGCGTGCGGCAACGCGCACGCTTACTGGCATTCCCTTCTCGTTGAGTCGAGCAACCAGACCGAGACTGTCAACGATTCGGAAATTGGCTATTGCTGCAAAACAAAGGATACATCGGTCGCCTGGTTGTGGGGTTGCCCCGCGTTATCGGGCTACACCATGTCCTCGGAGAGCATCTCCCAATCAGCCCCGAATATCATGAAGGAGCCTGGACGTTCTTCCTTTGACATGTGCGTAGATGACCGCGCGGCGCTGCATCAGTGCTTTGGCCACCAGGACTGCCCAGGGACGGAGACGTGCGTTTTGAGCCGCAGACAGAAAGACCATCTGGACCAGGGCATTATCCGCCATTGCGTGCCGCAGGAGGAAGCCCATATGTCTTGCAATGACACGCTCGAGCAGTTGTCATGGGTGCTGTTAACGACATCGTCTGGTGGTGGTGGCCACTTAGCCGCTGCAGCTGGTTTGGCGAACACATTTAACGAAAAGATGGGTCTCAAGATCGACCGCCTTGCTAACGAGTGCGCCGGAAGCCCCAGCTTGGAGAAGGCCCAGCGCATGCTGGCCCGTGACGCGGTGGAGGGTCAGTTGCACATCAAGGGCTTCGTCGTAGAGTTTGACATGATGCGCTCAGCGTGCACCCAGCTCGTTGGCGTGGAGGCCGGCGATTGGTTGGCAAGCCAGTGGAACGACGCTATGGCTCAGGAAAAGTTCGCAGATCTGCAACAGATGGCGCAACAATCAGCCATGTTCGAGCGATTCATCCCCAAGATCTCACCATGCAGCCGCGGCTTGTCGGAGGCAATTGCCGAAGCGACAAAGAAATTCGATGGACGTGGCCTGCATTACGTCATCGATACACAGCCCTTCTTCAAAAAGGTCATTGCCTCCGTCGGCAGGCAACATGGTATGCTCGTGATGGAAGTTTATTTGACCGACATGCCGTCAGAGAAGTGTGTTCACTTCAGGACTCCTTTGAAGGCTCTGGCGGAGTCGGGGCAGAGCAATCTTGTACGAATTCACACGCCGCACGCCAATATCGCGGATCTTAAGCGCTGGTTCGGGTTTAAAGACGAGGCGCAGTACGTCTTCGAGCCAGGATTGCCTATCGACGCCAGGTACAGGGACAAGGAGTTGGCGCTCCCGGGAGAGAAGGTCGAGGTGGTATGGAAGAGCCAAGTCCAGCTCCAACGAGAGGACGGAGCTTTCATTGACGAGGGAGCAGTTTATAAGAAGTTGGGAGCTCGCGAGGTGGTTGAAGGAAATGCAACTCGCTACTCCTTCGACATCCGGCCGGAGGACCGAGTCGGCCTCATCATGCTCGGCAGTGAGCCTCCCACTGACACCGTGGTGCGGATGGTGGAGCTGATGGCTACACTTGGCAGGGCTCACGCTGGAGCCAGCGACCCCGAAGCGGTGTCGATGCGGCAATCACTTGCTGGCCAGAAGATGCGGGACCAAGAGGGTACTGCCTGGCTTTTCGTGGCGTGCGGCAGGGCGAGCACGCGTGGAGGGCCTGGCGGACTGTTCGACAAGGTGATGCAGCGGATCCTTGGCTACGAGTTTTTCGTTTCAACTTGGCCCCAGGCTGAGCGCCGATTACGGATCGTGCCTTTCTCGGGTCAGTTTGCTATCAAGGCTTATGCGCGCAGCGATGTGGCTGTCGTGAAGACTGGTGGCTTGACCACAGCCGAGGCCTTGAGCTTGACGGATTTGGATAGGACTAGCCGCTTGGAGGAGCGGTGGCCGAATGCCGGGCGTAAGCGCATCCTCGTGAACTCTTGGAGTTCCAGCTACTATCTCGGGCAGGTTATCTACAACAACGAACAGATGGATCCGGACCGCTGGCAAGCATTTCTAGCAGATGCAGCGCAGGTGGGGTGGGAAGGCGGCAATGCCGAGTACATTGCAAATCAAGCCCAGGCGCAGATGGTGTGTGTGAAGCCGTCGTTGTCCCAATTGCGAGCGGGAGGGGGAAGAGGCTCGGAAGTGTTTGCGGACCACCCAGGCTGGCACGACCGTTGTGAGTTGCCTTTTGTTCGGATGATGGATGCACGCTTGTACCCGGACTGAAGCTTGAGTGAAACTCTGATCCGATGTCTTATCATCGCAGATCCGATCTTGCGTGAATCCCGAGCGCGTGCAGTGTTCACCTCCACCATCACCACCAACACTCACCATCATCATCTGGCTGCCCGCGGCAGACGCCGCCACAGCGCCAGCGTAGCGTCGGCATGCATGCAGGACGGTTCTTTCACCAAACCTACCCGATCAGGCATGGAAGAACAACCAGGGCCATGTGGGAATCAGCGCTGGTATGCTGCAGCGTGGCCCATCTTCGACATTGCATGGCTTTGCTTTTTGGAGGCTTCTTTGGGGCCTGATGCGGAATTCGTTGGGTGCTTACAGGGCCACCTGCGATCCGATTCCATACGATTGGATTCGTCGGCTGGTGCCGCGATTCCGATTCGAGTCGTTTCGATCCGACTCGCCGCCATCGGCCGGGGCCTGCCTGAGCTGGGGCGCGGCGATCCGATTTTGATTTGATTCAGGACGAGTTGTTGGCGATCGGCTCCGTTTCTGATCCGACCTGATTTCGCGATACGATCCGGCTCATGCCTGCCTCTTGTGGGCCTTTTGGGGCCTTTCTGGAGAGGAGGAGGAAGAGGAGGAGGAGGATGAGGATGAGGAGGAGGAGGGAGGAGGAGGGGAGGAAGGTGAGGGAGAGGAGGAAGAGGAGGGATTGGAGGGAGGCGATGGAGAGAGGGAGGCAAGGGAGGTGAGGGAGAGGAGGGAGGTGAGGGAGATGAGGAGGAGGAGGAGGAGGAGGAGGAGGAGGAGGAGGAGGAGGAGGAGGAGGAGGAGGAGGAGGAGGAGGAGGAGGAGGAGGAGGAGGAGGGGGAGTATGAGGATGAGGAGGAGGAGGAGAAGGAGGAGGAAAAGGAGGAGGAGGAGGAGGAGTTGGAGTTGGGGGAGGAGGGGGAGGAGGGGGAAGGGGAGGATGACTTTTACTGGACATCAGCATGGCTTCCTGGCGCCCTGCCCGAGATACTGCGGTGGTCTTGGGCGCGATTTGTCTGCCGAGCTCTCGCGGAGAGTCTCGGTATGACCGTCCTTGGCGCTGTTCTGGTCGGGCCTTGGGGGATGTTTCGGTAGGATGTTATGGGAGCCTCGTAATTCCGTCTTCAGAGAGCATTAGCGTCAATTTAGCGTCGACTAGCGTCGATTAACATCGAAAAGCGTCGATTCGTAAGAGCCAACCAGATAGTACGGGAGGCTCCCATCGGTTGTTACAGAAGGCTGTCTTGGGGTTGTCTGGGACCGTCGCGGGTCGTCTTGGGGGGCTTTCGGTCGTCTGAGGGGTTCTGAGGCCGCCGTTGGACTCTCCTGGGGCCATTTGGTTTTCGGCGATTCTGGGGGCTTCCTGGATCCTTCATGCACCGTCTTGGAGCTCTCTGAGGCCCTCAATGCGGCAATCCTAGGCCGATGCGCTTGAGAATCAGTGAGACTGGCGCGTCTAGTGGTGATGGCGTCACACACAGACGAGCCACCAGGCTTCTTTCGGAGGGGGGCTTCTTGCGCGTGGCGTTTCCCTTCAGCTGGAATGGAAGCCCTCGGATTGCGGTGCTACGCAATGCGTCGTCGCAGCATCGTTGTCATGGTCAGGGCCAGATTGCAGGGAGGGATCAACTCCTCCCTGTCCCCCCGTTCCTCCTCCTCCTCCTCCTCCGCCCCTGTCGCCCGCCGCTCCGGCCCCCGACGCCCCACGCGTGGCCGCCGGCGAGGACCGGCCCGTCCTCTACAGCAGCAACGTGGACGTCGTGTACAGGAGCGCGGTGCGCTGCACGGTGACCTTCGACACGCCCCTGCACGGCTTCACGGCGGCCGACATCGGGCGGGGAGGGCCGCGCCCGAGCGCGCCGGAGCGCCGCGGGGGAGGGGCCTGCCGTGGAGTCCGCCCGCCGCCTCGGCACTGCGGGCCAGGGATTTCCCTCCCCTCGCCTGTCGCTCCTCGCCCCTCGCCCCTCGTCCCTCGTCTTTGCCCTGCCCCTCTTCCCTCTTTTCTCGTCCCTTTCCCCATGCCCCCTCCCTCTTTCCTCGTCCCTCTTTCCTCCTTCCTCGTCCCTCTTTCCTCGTCCTTTTTTCCACGCCCCCTCCCTCCCGCCTCTTTTTCCTCCTCCCTCGTCCCTGCTCGTTCTCTCCCCGCCGATCCCCCCTGGCACTCTTTATGCCTGCCTCTGCCCTCCTCCCTGCTCCCTCCTCCTTTGTGTCTCCATTCTCACTCTTGCATCTGCGGGGGGGAATGGATGGAGGGAGGGAGGAAAGGAGTCGGAGCAGGAGAGGTGATGGTGATGATGATGGTGGTTGTGATGATGTTGACGATGGTGATGCTGATGATGATGATGATGATGATGATGATGATGATGATGATGATGATGATGATGATGATGATGATGATGATGATGATGATGACGAGGAGGAGGATGAGGAGGAGTAGGAGGAGGAGGAGGAGGAGGAGGAGGAGGACGACAGTGGGAGAACAGTGGGAGGACGGAGAGTGGACAGGGGAGGGTGGAAGGGATGCAGGGAGCTGGGAGAGGGTCAGGCGGATGATGATGATGATGATGATGATGATGATGATGATGATGATGATGATGATGATGATGATGAGGAGGAGGATGATGATGCTACTGATGATGATGATGACGATGATGATGATGATGATGATGATGATGGTGGTGGTGGTGGTGATGATGATGGTGCTGATGATGATTGTGGTGGTGCTGCTGCTGACGACGATTCTGATGATGATGGCAATGCTGATGGTGCTGATGCTGCTGCTGATGATGCTGCTGCTGATGATGATGATACTGACGATGAGGATGCTGATGCTGATGCTGATGCTGATGAAGATAATGATAATGCTGATGATGATGATGATGATGATGATGATGATGATGATGCTGATGATGATGATGATTCTTATGATAAGTATGTTCCTGAGGGCGAAGATACTGATGACGATGATGATGACTGTGATGATCATCATGCTGATGCGGATGATGATGCTGATGATAAAGCTGCTGATGATGATGCCGATGATGATGATGCTGATGATGATGATGATGATGCTAATGATGCTGAGGCTGATGATAATGATGCTGATGGTGACGATGATACTTATGATGATAACGATGACGATGACGATGATGCTGATCATGTTGTTGATGATGGAGCTGACGATGAAATTGATGATGATGACGATGGTGCTGATGGATATGACGATGATGCTGATGCTTATGATGATGCTCTCGTTGATGATGATGACGCTGCTGATGATAATCATGATGATGATGATGATGATATATACGATGATGACTATGAAGACGGTGATTATGACAATGAATATGCTGATGATGCTGCTGATGATGTCTATAATGATGATGATGATGATGCTGCTGCTGCTGCTAATCTGCTAATGATGACGATGGTGATGGTGATGACGATGACGATGATGCTGATGATGATACTACTACGGATTATGACGATGATGTTGATGCCGCTGATGATGATGATGTCGATGATCATGATTCTGATCATGATCATGATCATGATCATGATCATGATAACGATTACGCTGACGACGACGATGACACTGATGATGATGCTGCTGCTGCTGATTATGATGATTATGATGATGCGGCTGATGACACTGATTAGGCGGATGCTGATGATGAGGTGATGATTATGACGCTGCTGATGAGAATAACGATGATGATGATGATGATGATGATGATGATGATGATGATGATGATGATGATGGGGATGATGATGAGGATGATGATGATGATGATGATGATGATGATGATGATGATGATGAGGATGATAAAGCCGATACAGCTGATGATGCTGATGACACTGATTAGGCGGATGGTGGTGATGAAGCGATGATGAGGAGAATGAGGAGAATAACGAGGAGGAGGAGGAGGAGGAGGAGGAGGAGGAGGAGGAGGAGGAGGAGGAGGAGGAGGAGGAGGAGGAGGAGGAGGAGCGTGAGGCTGACTGTTTGCCGCCCTGCTGTCTGCCCACAGCCCCCCTTCCCGCACTCGTCTGCGCCAGCCCAGGGCGGCCAGCACGACGGTGATCACGGGCTTCAGCGAGCTGTCTCCCAATGAGTATTCCTTCTTCGTGTCCTCCACCGTGGACGCCAACGTGAGCCTCTCTGTGGCGCAGGGCGCCGCGAGGCTCTGGGACCCGTCGGTGCTGGGCAGCATCAGGTACAGCGACGCAGAAGTACCGCTGCTCACTTTCCAGTTCTTCAGGGACCCACCGTCGGTGTCCTTGCGGATCGACTCCCAGCAGGGGGCCACCCGGGGCAGCTCCTGAATCCTCGACCTCCCGGCTCGCCTGAGAGAGCGGCGCGCTTCTCCGAAGCCGAAACTGGCTCCAAGCAGGGCAAGGCGCTGTTCTCGTGCCGTTGGTCGCGTTCCGGCCTCGGGGGCTCGCCGTCGGTGTCCGTGCTCAGTATCGTTTGACCGACCCCCATCCCCATCCTCATCCCCTTCGAGACCCCCACCAAATTACCACCCCAGTTGGGGATACACCCCTCGAAACCCGAATGGAACGGCCCATATCCCCTATCTGGGGGGTAAATCGGACAGTGGGGCCCAGGCCACGCCGCTGAGGATGGGGATCGGTTCAACGATGCTCATGTGCGTCAGCAATGTCTAACCGATCCCCACCCCCACGGGGCCATGGTATCAGCCCCAGCAGCCCGCCTACTCCACAAAAAACTCCAGCATATCTGTAAGGATGGTCTGCGGGCCGCCGAAGGCGGTACCAAGACGGCCCCGCCCTCCCCCGAGACGGCCCGAGACGGGCCCCGAGAGTGGCCCGAAGTGGCCCAAGATTGCCCGGCCCAAGACGGCTCCAAGACCGCCCCAAGGCATCTCCAGTGCTCCACATGTCGGCCTGTAGGGAGCCTGGATGCAAGTGTCTTTGGACTGACAGGGCAGGAGGTATGCCTGGGATGCCCGGAACCAAGGGATGCAAGGGTCTCTTTGCTTCTTGCGTTAGTATTTGCGATTGTTTTCGCTGCACGCGAGATCACACGCGTGTCTCACGCTTGCTTCAGACACGCCAGCCTGGCTACCCCTCCAGCAGCTGTGCACCTCAAGCATCAAACATTGAGAACGCACCATGGCTGTTTTTCGAGGTGCTTGGCCTGCCAGGGGCGTCCAGGAGACTTCTCTTGGGACCTCGGAGTGAGGTCCTGGAGTTCTGTTCGTAGTTTTTCTTCTCTTGGGACCTCGGAGTGATGTCCTGGAGTTTTTTTCGTGGTTTTCTGGTGGTCTTGGGGGGTGTTCTTCAGTGGAGGTCCATGCCGAGAAACACCCTGCTCGTCTCCAGGGTGCCCTGGGTTTCTTGGGTTTCGATGGTTTTGCCGTGGAAAGCGTGACGTTCCCACACCAAAAGTCAGCGGACGTCCTGGGGTCTCAGGGTTGTGTTTTTCGTGTAGAAGGTTTCTTGTGGTCGGGCCTCCACTGTAGTCGTCACCCGATCTCGGAGAGGCGGAGTTGTGGGAACGCGTCGCTTTTTGGATCCTCCCCCGCAGGCGATATCAACTCCAAGCAGCACCAGGTACCTGGAAGCAACGGTCTGGACCCCTCATCATCCCTCGCAGTCCTGTCCGCGGTATGGCTCCGTCTCTTATCCCGCACTGCATCTTTCTCTCTCCTCTTCGTGCTCCTCTCGTCTTCCCCTTCTTCCTCCGTCATCGTGTCCCTCCTCCACCTCGTTTTTCTTCATCGTCCCCCGCCTCCGCCTTGCACACTCTGTCTCGGCCTCTGGCGCCTTGTCCTCCTCCTGCTGCCTCCTGCTCGTCCTCCCTGCTCCGTCCCCCTTATCCCTCTCTGTCGTCTCCTCTTTCATATCTGTATGTGCTTAAGAGCTTACGCCACTCAGCCGGCCCCCAGATGAAGCTAGACACCATGGAAGTTTCTAGTGCAAGGTCTGGGCTAGAATGTCGTATATGACGACGTGGGTTGCGGCCGTACTGGGCTGACGTATTTTTCGGAGGGGGCGTGCGACGGCATGTTCGTGGTGCAGAAGCACACCACCCATACCCAATGGAGGAACAATTAGTGCCATGGCAAGAAGGTTATGCGCAAGGACTGCGTGGAATGAGGACTCACGGCGAGATCTTGGGAGGCGTTCCAGCGTTCAGGTACGTGCGAGGGTTGGCTGCCTCGCCGTCTGTGCGCCGCGCAAGGTGCTCACTTCGCCCGCGCTGCTCGTAAGGGAACACTGACATGAGGGGCGCGTCGCGTGTGAATCTAGAGTGGAGGCCCATGCTACGAAACACCCTGCTTGCCTCCAGGGTGCCCTGGGTTTCTTGGGTGCTTTCGATGGCCTTGCCAAGGACAGCGTGACGTTCTCATGCCAAAAATCAATGGACGTCCTGGGGTCTCAGCGTTGGGTTTCTCGTGGAAGGTTTCTTGTGGTCGGGCCTCCACCGTATATTTGTGAGTGTGACCGCCCGGAGATGGTGGGACATCGTCGCTGTCATGGGAGACGCTCCAGTGTTAGGTTTTATGCCAGTCGTGGCTGCCACGCGGTCGCTGCACTGCGCGTGGGGCGCAGTTTTCGTGCGCAGGTGTGTGGGGGGCACTGACGCGTGGGTCGCACTGCGCGCGAGCCCAGGTGGTGTCCGTGTGGCCTGGGCAACGTCCCTGTCGTGGGGAACGGTGCAGAGCTCGGGTTTGCGCGAGACGTGGCTGCCGCGCAGTCAACCCTTGCACACTTTGGGAGGGCAGGACTAAGAGGGCCGACGGCGAGGGCGGGAGTGCTGGACAGGAATGGAAAGGGCGCATCTTGCGGGCATTGT